CGGTCTCAATGCATGAAACATGAAACTGAGAAACCAAAACAAATAATGACTATTTGAATCTGTTCTAGTAGCTTCAGGTGTGCAGATGTGGGTGCAGAACGCAGGGGGAAAAAAATAGCAGATGGAACCATGGGAACTTAGTACATGGTTTTGAGTTGTAACGATTACTTACCAGCACTTTGGAAATGAACAAGACTCAAAATGATGGGTTGAACTAGGGATGTGTTAACAAGATAGGTTAACAAGGATTAATCCTTCACTCCTCTTTTCAGCACAGATGACCCTGACTAATGGCCTCCTTTCTGTCTGCACAGAGGTCAGCATACCCACCCTGGGTCAAATGTCAGCACTGCTGTATTGCTGGCCCCTTTCCCTCATGATATGCACACTAATACATTACGCTTCCAATATATAACACTCATATATTATGCTTCCAAGCCCTTAAGGCTTCCATTCCCTTTAGATGGAGAAGTAGGTTGGTTATCCTCAGTGTGCACATTATATTTTATCTCTTATGCCAATAAAGGTATTGTATTTGTATTTGTGTGCTTTTCATTTGACTTCATGCAGAACGAAACCTGCACTGTTTCTGCTGGCAGCACTTTATGGGTTCTGACCATGAACTGACTTGGCCAGACCTATCTGTGTCAGCTAGCCCGCTGTCATAGCTGGTGGAAGGGGGGGAAGCTGATAGATGGTCTGTTGCTGTAATGTAATCTTAACTTTTGTTTCTTCCTGTCTCGTCTTATCTGCTAGCTTAGGCCAGTGACCTTGATACCTTGCTGCTGCTTTCGCTGGGAATGCAAACCCATTAGCTTAGGTGGGCTTTAGCTTATTCCCTGATTGGGTCAGACCCATCAGGGAGTCCCCTTTGAATTGCATATAAGTCCCCATTTTGCGTGCTTGCAATCAGTTCTGACACAGAATGTATGCACAGATGACCTGCCTTTACTGTACTCAATAAACTTGAACCTTCTGAAGGAATGTTGTTGAGAACTGATTGCTGCAGGACTCTGACAATCTGAAGTACCCCCTCATCTTTGGCAATGAGAAATAGGCAAAAAGAGACCATCATCTATGGCGATGTGAGGAGGCCTGAATTACCGGTGTGTGTGTGTGTGTATAGGAAACCTCTGAATAACAGAAAAAAGGGGGTACTGAGCACCAGAGTTCTGACAGTAATTCTAGCAAGGTTATAGGAGGAATATTGAAGGTGCAAAATATAATTTGAGAATTACAAAAATGTGAAAAAAATGGTTGTAATTACAAGATTCCAAAAAAACCATAATGTGCCCACAATCTCAATAAATAGGAACACTATCAAAAAAGGGTTTTTTTTAACAAAAATTATATATGATTTTAGAGATAGAAAACCAAAGTAAAGGCAGAAAGACTCTGAAAATTGCCTTTTGAAGCAACTAACACAAAGATGCTCAGAAAGTCCTCACACACAACTAACATACTAACATTGAAGCCGAGATAAACAAGAACTCTACAAGTATATTGTTATATTAACACTTTTATTACTAACATTTAAATTAACATGTATATGATCTCCTCCTCTTGGGTTTTTAGTGTAGTGTGGTTATCTATCCTTTATCCTTAGATGTTAGCCCCCTCCCTTATATTTTCTTTGTAGTTTTGTAGTCTTATAAAAAAAATATCCCTCTGGGGATGCAAAAAAAATTAAATAAAAAAACCTCTGAATGCAATAAGAACTGTTTTCTTTTGTATACGCAGGTGAATAGATTGGCCTATACACCCTTATCAATAGGAATGTGGTTTTGAATCCTGCAATTCTGAATAAGGACTTGTACTGAATTTAAAGCTGGGGAAAGTGTGGCAGTTTTATAGTTTGAGATATCAGACTGGGCCAATATGATGCGGCTCGGCAAATGCTGGCAGTGTAAACCAATGATCATTCATTTCCCTAAGCCAAGGCCTTCCTTTGGAAGAGTTTCCACAAAGCTGCTTTGACTTCATTGTTCCTGATGGTGTATATGAAAGGGTTGAGCACTGGGGTGACCACAATGTTGAGCACAGAGATGTCTTTGTTGTGGCTGAAAGTTGACTTTGAAGCACTGGGTCTTAAGTAGACAAAAAGGACTGCCCCATACAAGATGCTAACCACAGTCAGGTGAGAGACACAGGTGGAGAAGGCCTTCTTCTGCCCACTAGTTGAAGGGATGCGGAGAATGGTGGAGATGATGAAGATGTAAGAGATGACTGTCAGAAGTAGAGATGTCACAATTACAGCCACAGCAATCAGAAAATTAAAGGCTTCGATCAAATGTGTGTCCCCACCTGAAACAGTCAACAGTGGTCCTATGTCACAGTAAAAATGGTTGACAATATTGGAACTGCAGAAGGGGAGCTTTAGAACCATTATTATTTGAAAAAGGATGGAGAAAAAGCCCCCAGACCAGGCAGCCAGGGAAAGCTGTAGGCAAACACCAGAGGTCATGATGGTGGTATATCTCAGTGGATTGCAGATTGCCAAGTACCTATCAAAAGACATGACAGTCAGGATGAAAAACTCTGTCACGCCAAAGAAGAAGTGGAAGTAAAGCTGTGCCATGCAGCAGTAGAAGCAGATGGTAGTCTTTGAGAAGAGGAGATTGGCCAACATTTTGGGGACAACAGTGGTGGTGTACCACATCTCAAGGAAAGAGAGGTTGCTAAGGAAGAAATACATTGGTTTCTGGAGGTGGTTGTTGATTCTCACAATGAGTACAATGAGACCATTCCCTGTGATGGACAACATGTATAGCATGAGGACGACCACAAAGAAACTGACATTGATTCCCCAAACATGCGGGAAACCAAGAAGTATGAAATTTTCCACCCTTGAACAATTGACTGAATCCATAACTCTATTTCTATAGCGCTGTAAGAAAAAAAAAAGATATGGAACTCACACGATCAAATTGCTGAATGCCGACCCTAACTCAGACCAGAAACAGTTAGCAAACAACTATGCAACTCCCTTCGAAATACAAAAATGTATATGGCAAAAGCCATCTTATAGGCCAAAGATGATTAAAACAAACCCGGTAGTTTTAACAATTCTAAATACTTGGGACCGACTGAGGTCAAAACCTTTACCTCCAATATCAAGACATCAATCTTTCCTGAATCAAACGTGGTTCCTTCCAGGACTCAGTAATCCAGATTTTATTAAATGGAAGGAGGCTAATATCACTACTTTACAGGACCTTACACATAAACACAACCTTCTGTCAAAAAACTACCTGGAAGCTAAAATAAAACATGTCATACCATGGTTCCAGTACTTCCAAATATCCAACTTATATACTCACCTCAAATTAGATCAAGTAATGAAACAATCTCCCACAGTACTTGAGGCTGTAATTAGAATAGCGAAGGTAACGGTGAAAGGGTTGGTTTCTAAAATATACACGATATTGAACTCATTAGATAACATAGTTCAACTCTCCTATCAATCTCTATGGCACAAAGAATGTAATACAGAGCTATCAGAAGAAGTTTGGAATAAAATTTGGTCCTCCCCACCGTTTAAAACGGAGGTCACCACGATGAAGCTCCAAGTGTTTAAGATACTAGCTCATTGGTGGTTCCAGTACTTCCAAATATCCAACTTATATACTCACCTCAAATTAGATCAAGTAATGAAACAATCTCCCACAGTACTTGAGGCTGTAATTAGAATAGCGAAGGTAACGGTGAAAGGGTTGGTTTCTAAAATATACACGATATTGAACTCATTAGATAACATAGTTCAACTCTCCTATCAATCTCTATGGCACAAAGAATGTAATACAGAGCTATCAGAAGAAGTTTGGCATAAAATTTGGTCCTCCCCACCGTTTAAAACGGAGGTCACCACGATGAAGCTCCAAGCGTTTAAGATACTAGCTCATTGGTACCTCACCCCCAATAAACTGGCTCACATGACAAAAGGGTAACATGCCCCAAAATATTACCTTTCTGGGAGTTGATTCTGAAACAGATAAAATCTTTCCATATCATAGATATTTTGCCTATCCCAGAACATTTGTTTTTGAACAGTTGGGTAGTTCATGGCTCTGCTCCTTCAGTGGTGGAACGGGTCTCCATATTGCTTTTTGCAGCAAAATCGGTCATTGCCTTCCACTGGAAAATGACAATGACATCCACACTTTCACAGTGGCATAGAAAGTTGTGGGGGTTATATATTATGGCGAAACTCTCGGATAACCTTGCAAGATTTGATAGATTTCAGGCTCCTTCCTCCTTTATCACCACTTGGTTACCTATCTTAGAATATCTAAAACAATTTGAGGACACTCCCAAAGAGATTGATGCTCTGCAATTGTGGTAAGAGACAGGATAACAATTGTAATAGTTATAAACATTTATTGTTACATCTCAAACAGATTACAATCACTTTATGGTGAGGGGTTTGAACGAATTGATTAAAGATTGTTTTACTAATATGCAAATGCACAAGATAATTATATTTTTATTTTGGAAATTCCAATTAACATTGTTAAGCTGACATTGTACTTAAATCTGTCTATATGCTCTCACATGTTAATTTTTTTACATTGTTATAGTCTTGTAGAAAATCAATAAAAAGTTATTGTAAAAAAAGATATGGATAAACTATTAATCTAGGTGTATATTCTACTGTAGCCTAAAATTACAGAGCAGAAAGGAAACCATCCTTATGCAATTTGCCTCCTTCAGCTTGAGAGAGTTGAGCAAGGTCGCTAATGATAGGACATTTTGGAGGTCATTAATGCATAGGGTCTGTGTGAGTTGGAAGTGATTTTACAACATGTAGCATACAATTTGTCTCCCCTGTGAGGGAGGGGAAATTAATTTCTGAAGACCACTCACTCAAGAATTCCAAGGCTGGAACTTGGAACTGTGATTGTAATCACTGAACAAAAAAATTAAGGTCTATGTAATTTCAGGAACTGTCTATGCGCACATACACCAATGCACACCAATCTGTGCTTGGAGACTGATGCCACTCCACATCAATTGGAGACTGATGCAATTCCACATGTGGTTGTCCAGCTTCATTCTAGAACTACAAGCATGCATGTAGACAATTAAGACAGACAGAGAGAGAGAAAAGCACTGTGTGATCTGAGAGAGGAATGGAATGAATGAAAGGGAGAGAGAAATGAATTAACCTTAAAGAAGAATGAAGAGTTAATGTGGATGAATAAGATAGCTGTACCTTGGCTGACACATTTCCTGGAGGTGAACAGAGACACAGATGAGTGGATGGAAAGAGAAGGACAGGAATGGTCTACTGGAAGGACAGAATTTGGATGGACAAGGGAAACTGTTTTGACAGAAGGGATTGAGAACCAGTGTGGTGTGGTGGATAAGAGACATCTGGGACAGGCAGGTTCGAATCCTCACTCAGACCATGTTAGCTCTCTGGGTGACCCTGGGACAGTCACATTCTCTCAGTCTAACCTAACTCAAAGGGTTATTGTGAAGAAAAATAGAGGAGACTAGAATGATACGAGCCACCTTGGGTCAGTATTGAGGGAAGAGGTGTGGTATAAATGAATCAAATTAATTAATATGTTAAATATGGTGTATCAAAATAGAAAGCAACAGGCAGGAAAGCTGTATGAGGATAGGTAAGTAGATAGATAAGTTGGGGAAAGTTCAGGTTTTTTGGCATCATCTTTTCTTCCTTCTCAGTCAGTACTAATGGATAAGGTAAAAGGAAGAAAACTGGAACATTAAAAGAAGTGTCCACCCACTTTGATATGGGAATTTCAGTTCTAGGCATCTGAACTGGGGAAGCAGCGTACATCAAGACAAGATGATTGACATTATGTCTAAGGAAATAACCATGGCTGAAAGTGACTTTAGATTCATTTACCAACAGGAGATTATGGAAGTTCAAAAATAAATCCACATGTTGTGTCTGAGAGTACCTTCCAAAGCAGCCTGGAATGAAAATTTAAATTGAGTGCAATTCTGAACTGATATTTAAAAAAAAAAATTTATCCGGTAGATTCGATTCCAGTAGGACCTTAGAGATCAACAAGATTTTTGAACGATACGCTTTTGCGTGTCAAATCTCCTTGGAGCTTTGACTCTCAAAAGCTGATACCCTGAAAATTTTGTTGGTCTCTAAGGTTATACTGGACTTGAATCTTGCTGCTGTGTTACGGACCAACAAGGCTTCCCTCTGAAATTATTTTAATATATTCAAGTCACAGTTCAGTAACATTTTTTCCTGTACAATAAACTTTCAGCTACTTCTTTCAAGGACTCCCCAATATCTCTCCAAGTGCCCATTTGGATTATCATATTCGTCTTGATCCAACTTTGCTACCGATTGTCCTTTTATCAAAATTTGGTCTAGAGACTCAGGCTGCGAAGTCGTGCAAAGGAGTCGTGCAAAGAGGCAAGATCACAGTAAGAGGACACGCCATATTTTAGAGGAATGCCTTACCCTCACTTGCTTTCTTCTCTCTGCATGATCAAAACCCCTTCTTCTAACTGGTACGCAGCAAACAAGACGTTATCTATCTCCTCTGCACAGAAACTAAGGGATTGACT